GGGGGGGGGGCCGGGCAGTGAGGCACCCCTGCCCGGTGGGTTGTGCCTCAGTTTCCCCACCTCAGACCTCAGTAATGGGGGGGGGGAGGCTGCTCCTCAGACCCCTCCATTCTGGTTTGGGGGATGCGGGGAGGTTATGCTATGGGGGCAAATGGGGTGGGATGCTCACCGCGGGGGGGGCCAGGACACCTGGGTTCACACCCCCCCCCCCAAGCTGTGCTGGGTGGGTGGGGGACTCTTACTGGTGGCCCTAGTTTAACCAGTGGGGCCTGATTTCCAGTGCCTCCCTCCCAGCTGGGTCTATGGTGGGGTTGGGCAATGAGGGTGGTGGGTGCAAGGGGTGCAGAGGAGGGTGCTGGCACCCGGGGGGGTCCCCTGATGCCAGGGGGGTGCTGGGGAGGGGGTCAGGTCAGGGTCTCCACCCCGGGGTGGCAGTGGTGGGGAGGGAGGCCGGGCAACCCCCCCGGCCCGGTAGCCCCAGCACAGGTAGAAGCCGAGAATACTGGGGGGGGGGCGGTTGGGGCAATGGGTTTGTTTGCTGGGGGGGAGGGGAGTACGTTGCCTCCCCTCCCTCCCATTTTGGGGGTGCCCCCCCCGTGGTGGTGCCTTTTGTGCTGGATTGCGGGGGCCAGGAGGATGGACGGGGTCGGGGGGGCGGTGCTGGCGTTTGGGGGAGGCAGACAGAGGGACGGAGGGGGGGGGGATGGAGCAGCCTAGCTGAGAGAAGGGGAGGGAGGGGGGTGATTGGGGAGACCCCAGAGTCCTGCTCCCCCATGCCAGGGGGAGTCCTGCCCCCCCCACCCCCAAGCCCCTCATTCACTAACATTGCTGGCTTGTTACAACCCCCCTGCCCCGATGGGGCCAGCAGCTCCCCTCAGTGCACCAGGTGGGAGCAGAGGGGGGGTCCCTCCTGCACTTGAGCTGCCTCAGTTTCCCCATCACCACTTTGTCGATCAGGATCCCAGTTCTGGGGGGGGGAGGGGGGCTGTGACAGGGATGATTAACCCCTCCCTGCCTGGGAAGGGGGTCTGGGCCACCCCCAGCTCACACTGTACCGGTGTCTGCAGAGTTGCGGGCTGGGCCAGGGTCCCGGCCCCTGCAGTCGGCGCGTTCCCTGCCTGGGACCCCCCATTGCCTGAAGCATTTCCCCGTTGACCTGCGCACCTCCATGGACGGCAAATACAAGGAGATCGCGGAGGTGGGTCCTGTGCACTGAGTTTGCCAGGTCTTAGGGGGGTGTTTGTGGGGGGTGTCTCGCCTCCATCCTTCCCCCTCCCCTCTTCTCCCACCCGTGACCCCAAACCCTCCTACCCCCACCTTTCCAGCTTGGTTTGGGGAGGGGGGACCCCCACAACCGTTCCCCTCCCAACCCTGCGGGCTGAGACCGAGCACAGCTCATGACAGGGATGATCCGGGCAGGAGCTGTTCTGCCGCTCACTGGCCGAGAGCGAGATGCGGACGGCGCCCTACGAGTTCCCGGAGGAGAGCCCCATCGAGCAGCTGGAGGAACGGCGGCAGCGCCTGGAACGCCAGATCAGCCAGGACGTCAAGTAAGCCGGGGGGGTTGTGTGTCATCCCTCCCCCCCCACCTCCCCCATGGGACGGGGTCCCCTCATGGGGACAAGTCACCACCACCCACCCCAGGTTGCCCCGGGGGGGCTGTCGGTCCTCTGTGCCAGCTCTGTGTCCTCTCTCCCGTGGGTGTTGCGCTTGGTGTCCCCTTTTTAATTTATTTTTTCCGGTTTCTGTGTGGTTTTTGTTGTTTTCAGTATTAACGGGGTATTTTCTCTCCCCGGCCCCTCTCTCCCCCTCCCCTCGTCCTGGCTGTCCCCCACCCCAACCCCGCCGCTGCCTGCTTGTCCCCAGACTTGAGCCCGACATTTTGCTCAGAGCCAAACAGGACTTCTTGAAAATTGACAGTGCTGCGGACTTACAGTGAGTGTCCGGCTCGGTGCCACCGGCCGGGGACACGGAGGGGGGTATCGGGGACCCCCTATTCCTGCTCTGACCTGGCCTTCCCCCACTGCTCCCCCAAACACAGAGCTGAAAGGTCCCAACCCAGCTTCTCTCGCTGGCACTGAAGGGGTTAACGCCCTCGGGGGGGGTTTAGGGGTGGGGGGGTTGGGGTGACCTGGGGGGGCGTCCCAGCCCCACTGGTGGCACAGGACCCTGTTGTGGCCCTGTCACCCCCTACCCTGGTCAAGGGGGGTCTGATGCTGCGTGTCCTCCTTCCTCCTGTCTCCGCTTGGGAGTTGTCTCTGTCACGAGTTATTTCGTTCTCTGTCCTCCTCCCCCCCCAACCCCCAACTTTTCGTTGTGCTCGTGTGGGGCTGGGGGATGTGTCTGGGGTGGGGGGACAATGCCACCGCCAATAGGGATGCGAGTGGCACCCAGCTGCCCAAACCTGGTGGTGACATCCCTGGGGACAACGTCACCCTCCTGCCACCCTGGGGCTGGACTCAGTCCCCGGGGCGGGTGCTGGTGCTGCTCCCGGGGGGGACACGGGGACACAGGGATGGGGACAGACAATGTCACTGTCTCACCAGCCACCGTCTGTACCCACAGGCTCTTCAAGGAGCAGAGCGAGGACCTGGTGGACCATGTCCCCAAGGAGCGGGAGGCACTGCTGGAGCGGGAGTTCCAGCGCGTCACCATCTCCGGGGAGGAGAAGTGCGGGGTGAGCCTCCCCCCACTATCCACCGGGGCCGGGCGAGGGTCTTCAGGGTGTCAACCCCACCTTGGGGTGGGTTTATTTTGGTGTCCTCCTCCCCAGGTGCCCTTCACGGACCTTCTGGATGCAGCCAAGAGCGTGGTGAAGGCGTTGTTCCTACGGGAGAAGTACATGGGGTTGTCCCTGCAGAGCTTCTGCAAAACCACTGCCCGGTACCTGCAGGAGCTCTCTGAGAAACCTCTGGAGACCCGCGGCTACGAGGAGGTGCCCGAGACCCCCGTGGCTGCTGGTGAGCACGGGATGGTGGGGTCTTCACCTGGGATAGGGTGCTGGGGGGGCTTTTGGGGGAGTCATCCGATGATGCACGTCTCATTGGGTGTCTCCTGGCTGCAGATGCCCCCGTGCACCCCCCGTTTGCGGAGCAGCACCCCTATGAGACATGGGACCCCCAGACCATGCCGGCTGATCTGGGCTTTGGGCTGAAGATGGTGGACGGCGTGGTGCACGTCTACACCAAGCAGGACCTCACCGACAAGTGAGTTGTGAGGCAGGGGCGACAGTCACTCACTGGTGTGATGAGTTTGCTGGGGGGCTGCCATGGGTGGCACGGGGCACGGAGGGAGCCCCCTGGACTGTGTCCCCGCATGTGACCCACCTCCATCGTCCCCTCCCAGGAGCACGGAGCTGGACCTGCCATACCCCGACCTGCAGGAATTCATCGCCGACATGAATTTCCTCATGGCTTTGATCATCAACGGGCCCATGTAAGGAGAAGGGTCCCACCATGGGCATGTCTTGGGGGGGACAGAACCTTGGGGACAGCACCAGAGGACATGGCGGTGGCTATGACACATGGTACTGGTGCAAGTCCCATGTCTGTGTGTCCGTCCTTGTTCATGGTCACTGTGCACAGGGAGGGGGGCCAAGAGTCCAGAGCCACGTCCCCTCATCCTGGTGGGCACCAGCCTTTTGGGGGTGGATGTTCTCCCTCCTCTCCCCCAAACTGACACCCCCTCCCCACCTTGGGCAGCAAATCCTTCTGCTACCGCCGGCTGCAGTACCTGAGCTCCAAGTTCCAGATGCACGTGCTGCTCAACGAGATGAAGGAGCTGGCGGCCCAGAAGAAGGTGCCTCACCGCGACTTCTACAATATCCGCAAGGTACCTGCTGGGTCACGGTGGGGGTCCTGCCTTGTCCCAGGAGCACTTGGAGGCTCTGAGGGCTGAGCATCACCTCTGGCCGTGCAGGTGGACACCCACATCCATGCCTCGTCCTGCATGAACCAGAAGCATCTCCTGCGTTTCATCAAGCGGGCCATGAAGAAGCACCTGGATGAAATTGTCCACGTGGAGAAGGGCAAGGAGCAGACGCTCAAGGAGGTCTTCGAGACGATGAACCTCACCGCCTACGACCTGAGCGTGGACACGCTGGATGTCCACGCGGTATGAGGGACACCCCTAAATCCTGGGGATGAGCAGGGCCCCCAGCCCATCTCTGGCTGGGGGGGGGGATCTTCTCGAGGGGCTGTACCAGGGTGGGGTGGGGTATGCTGGGGGCTCTGGATAGGGATATTGCGGTGGCTCTGGGGCGATGAGGGGTCTCAGCTCACATCTGTGTCCCCCTGCCAGGACCGCAACACCTTCCACCGCTTTGACAAGTTCAACGCCAAGTACAACCCCATCGGCGAGTCCATCCTGCGAGAGATCTTCATCAAGACGGACAACCGTGTCTCGGGGAAGTACTTTGCCCACATCATCAAGGTGAGCAGCGGCCCTGATGGGTGACCCTCCACATCTCCCTTCTTCCAATGCCCATGGTGGCAATGCCACCCACATCCCTCTTCCCGGTGGCTGAGGGGTGACATTTGCCCCTCCTTGGCAGGAGGTGATGTCTGACCTGGAGGAGAGCAAGTACCAAAACGCCGAGCTACGGCTCTCCATCTATGGCCGCTCCCGGGACGAGTGGGACAAGCTGGCCCGCTGGGCCGTCAACCACCGCGTCCACTCCAACAACGTCCGCTGGCTCGTGCAGGTGCCCCGGCTCTTGTGAGTAACGTGGGGGCAGATACCCTCAACCGGGGCCATGTCCTGGGCAGAGAGACCAAGGACACCCCCCGAATGCCGGGGGGGGGGGGGGGGATGGGACAGCTGGCTCTGAGCAGGGTCCGTCCCCCTGCAGTGATGTCTACCGGACGAAGAAGCAGTTGGCCAACTTCCAGGAGATGCTGGAGAACATCTTCCTGCCCCTCTACGAGGCCACCGTCCACCCTGCCCAACACCCGGAGCTGCACCTCTTCCTGGAGCATGTGAGCACCACATCCTGCTCCCGGGAGGACATGGGGGACACTGGTGACACCCGTAACCCCTAGCCTGGACCCAGCTTGAGGGCTGGGACAGATCTGCTGGGGGGGTGACCATCCCACCCTGGGGTTGTCACTCCCACAGGTGGATGGTTTTGACAGTGTGGATGATGAATCCAAACCAGAGCATCACATCTTCAACCTGGACAGCCCCTTGCCAGGCAACTGGGTGGAGGAGGACAACCCACCCTACTCCTACTACCTGTACTACATGTATGCCAACATGACAGTGCTCAACCACCTCCGACGGTAAGGACACCTTGAGGTCTCTGGAACCTCCGCCCATCCTGGTGGGGGGTCTTGGGGGGGGTCAGGTGGTGATGGTCAGCCTCACGTTGTAGGAAGAGAGGCTTCCACACCTTCGTCCTGCGCCCACACTGTGGTGAGGCTGGCCCCATCCATCACCTCGTCTCGGGCTTCATGGTCTCGGAGAACATCTCCCATGGCTTGCTGCTGCGCAAGGTGAGCAGGGACAGGGGTGCCCGTGGGGGCCGGGCGTGTGGCTGGGACCACCCCTCACCCTGCTGTCGTCCCCCCCCCAGGCCCCTGTCCTGCAGTACCTCTACTACCTGGCGCAGATCGGCATCGCCATGTCCCCGTTGAGCAACAACAGCCTCTTCCTCAGCTACCACCGCAACCCCCTGCCCGAGTACCTCTCACGGGGGCTCATGGTCTCCCTCTCCACCGACGACCCCCTCCAGTTCCACTTCACCAAGGTAAGCGGTTGGGGAGGGGGGTGTCACGGGCCACCGACCCCCCCAGAAACGGCTACGGGGTGGCCACCAGCCAAGCCACGGTGATGGGACAGGGTTGGGTGGTGGCCAAGAGCAAGGCAATGCCGATGGGCTCCAGAGGATTCTGAAGGTCCAGAGAGGGTGGGAGAAGCTGGGGACCCTATTGTCTCTGAGGGGGTGGCCCATGGGTGGGTGCTGAGGCCGTATCCCCCCACCCAGGAGCCGCTGATGGAGGAGTACAGCATCGCCACCCAGGTCTGGAAGCTCAGCTCCTGCGACATGTGTGAGCTGGCCCGCAACAGCGTCCTGATGAGTGGCTTCTCCCACAAGGTAGCGCACCCCCATTCCCACCGGGACCCCCGAGTACCTTGTGGTGGGTGCTGGCAGCACCCAAGGGTGCAAGGCAGCTGTGGGAGCTTCTCCTTGCTCCTCCCCAGGTGAAGAGCTACTGGCTGGGTCCCCACTACCTGAAAGAGGGTCCGGAGGGCAACGACATCCGTCGTACCAACGTCCCCGACATCCGTGTGAGCTACCGCTTCGAGACGCTCTGCCAGGAGCTGACCCTCATCACGCAGGCGGTGCAGACGGAGGAGCTGGAGACCATCCAGGAGGAGGACGCTCTCACCATCACCTCCACCCTGGGCACCCACTGACTCCCCACCCCGGGCTCTTGTCCCATGGCTCCCGCGGGGACCCCTCTTGTCACTCTGCATCCCTCCAGGGCTTTGCCGCCGTCCCCCTCCTGCTACCTCCCGCCCTGGAAACGGGACGCTCCCCACTGCTGTCCCCAGCACCCCGCCGGTGCTGCCGTGGGGGGGTCGGGGTTTGCTGGGTTCTCTCTGTTTCTTGTTTTTTGGGGGGTCTTTTTTTCTTGTGTTTTTTTTTTTAACTGGTGTCTCCTTGCTGGGTTGGTCCCTGCTGGGCTTGGTGGCAGAGGGACGAGGCTACAGGAGGTGACATGGGTGCAGGCACCGCTGGGGGGGGGTCCTCAGGCTCAGGACACACTGACAGGTTGAGGGACATCAGTGCTGGGTGTGGGGACATTGTGGGGGACCCAGCCCAGCAGCAGGTCCCAGGTCCTGATGCTTTTTAATTGCCTGCCCCTCTCTCCGTCCACTTTCTCGCCCTGCAGGGACATGGGGACAAGCCGGGCAGCACCCCAGGGACCCAAACCCGGGCTCTCTGCACCCCCAGGCTCCTCTCGCACCCTCGCACGGGGATGTGACATCAGTGGGGACCTGGTGGCCCAGGGGACATGGGGTGCTGGCTGGAGGGGACAGTGCCCAGTGGAGGATGCTCCATCCTCCTCATCACTGCAGAGTGAAAGGCAAAGGGGCTGGGGTGATGCGTGTCCCCGTCCCCCACGCTCCCAGGAGCTGTTTGTGGCCCGGATCGGGCTGGACGAGGCTTCTTTCTTCCCGGTGGGGCATCATCCCGTCCCTGCGTGTCCCCCCGCCCCGGTCCTGCCTCCCCCTGCGGTCTGGAGCCGGCGGCTGACGCTCCCAGGAAAACATGATGGCGACTACAAAAAAAAAAAAAAAAAAACAAACAAACCCCAACCAACCAAGCATGAAAAATAAAGTATTTAAGTAAAAATACTTAAATTTAAATGTGATGAGGGGGTGGGTATCACAGCCCCAGAGGGAAACTGGGGGAGCAAGAGCGTGGCCCCCACAGATTGCCCCCCTATGGTCGTTCCCCCCACCATGGCTTGGCTTTGGGGATAGGGTCCCCAAGTGATGGGGTGCCGGGGGCCGGATCCTGATCGTCGGGTGGCAGCCCCAGCGCTGGCCTCATGGCTGATGGGACACCCTGGCACCCTGCCTGCGCCCGGTCACGAGAGGGGGGAGGGGAAAGGGGAGGGTGCTGGGGGGGCTTGGCTTCTTCATCCCTGCCCAGTGTCCCTCCAGAGCCAGAGCTGGGTGCCACGATGGTGGTCACACTGGGATACTGGGACATCCGTGGGGTGAGGTGGGGGGGTGATATGACAATGCCTCGCTGGGGAGGTGGGGGGGATTAGGGGTGTGGGGGGGCTGCGGGTCCCAGGGTAGGGGGTGGTCCTGGGGAGCACAGGGGGGGTGTTGGTGGGTGCCAAAAGGTGGGTGCTGTGTCCCCCCAGCTGGCCCATGCCATCCGCTTGCTGCTGGAGTACACGGAGACCCCCTACCAGGAGAGGCAGTACCGCCCCGGCCCAGGTGAGGGGAGCAAGCAGGGTGTCCCCCCCCATGTGTGTTCCCCCTCCTTGGGACCCTTGTCACCCTAGTGAAACCAGCCGAAGGAAAAGAAACTCCCCGTTTCCGCAGGGTGAAAGTGCAGCCTGTCCTCTTGTCCCCCTGTCCTCCTCCTGCCAAGTCTGGGGGTGGCAATTTGCCCCCCCCCCACTCTGCCCTGGACCTTGGCCACCGCTCAATGTCCTCCTTTATCTGCCCAGGGAGGGTGCCCGGGGGGGGGGCACATGGCTGCTCCTGGGGCAGAGTGCACACCCCCTCCACCCATGAATTTGCTGTGGGTGTGATGAGTGGGGATGGGGGGTCTGGGGGAGCCCCCCCCCCATCT